CATCCATTGATGGATGCTTAGATTGTTCAGATTCTTGTTACTACCCACATTCTTGTCTTTCCTGGCCTGGCTTTCAGCTTTTCCCTAAATACACAACCTATTTTTATGTATTTTGAGTATTGTGTATATTTTGTGTATTTTGAGTAAATTCACCTTTGGCTTAAGTCCATCAGAGTTCCATCACTCACAATGTAAGAAACCTCACCGATGCAGACAAAGTACTTCTGGGACTTTTCTGGTTATCTAAAATTCAAGATCTAGGTCACCCATTCTAGGTGATTTTTTTTTCTTCTTTTTTTGGCCTAGTAGAGGCACTTGTTTCTTAATTCAAACATCAGGAAGAGACCCTTGGAGAAGGCAATAGAGGGGAGTGGGGGCTGTTTTGACCAAGATCAAATTCAAATATTTCTCTGTGGATGGGACACTGACTAGGAGAGAGCAATGCATCCCACAAGAAGAACCTGAGCATCAGGGCTTATTTCCCGCAGGCTTTTCCCACCTTCTTATAAGGTCACTAATCCTGTTGGATCAGGGCCCCACCCTTATGACCTCATTTAACCTTATTTCCTGAGGGGCCTCATCTCCAAAGACAGCCCCTTTGGAGATTAGGGCTTCAACAGATGAATTTGGGAGGACCCATTCAGTCCATAACACATAAATTATGGAAGTCAGCAGTTCCTGGATTCAACATCTGAGCACAAGCTGCTCCAACATTCCTTCAGAAATGAAGAGAAAGGTCTGAGTATCCTTTTTATTTTATTCTTTCAATGGGCATAAGGTGTTAGTATTTCCAAGGGGTCTTCAATGGTCACCACACTGGAATGTCAGACCTAGCAAATAAAAATACAGGGGGCCCAGTTAAAATTGAATTTCAGATAAATAATTAATGGAGGAGTAAAAAAAAAAAAGTATGGCCCATGTAATATTTGGGACATACTGATGCTAAAAACTATTTGTTATTTCTTCAAAGTTCACATTTAACTGGGTGTCCTGAATTTTCTGTGGAAAATCCACTTGGCAGGGACCAATAGCTCTTGCACTGTACAACCAGGGCCACAGCCTCCTTTGCTGACCTTGGCCCTGAGGTGTCTGGCACCTCCCAGCCTGGAGAGGCAGAGCTGGGGTTTGATTGATGTCTCACTGCCTCCCTTCTCCAGAGCAGGTCATGGCTGGTGGAGGAGGAGGGAAAGGACCTGTCCCAGTCTGGTAACCATTTGTCAGTGCTTGTGTGGTTTTTAATGTTCATTGTTATTAGTTTTATTCCAAATGCACACATGAGGTGTTCTGGATCAGAGACAGTTTTCTTATTAATTCCTTAAAATAAACACTAAGACATCTCCCCCACCTACTCCAGGCCTACACTTCTGGCCAGGGCTCAACTGTCCTATGCAAGTAGCTGGACACTCCACAGGTGAGGCACAAGAGGAAAAAAAGGAAGTTTTGGGTTTTTTTCCTTTAAAAAAAGGAAGGAGGTAACTAACCCCCTCCCTTCCTGAAACTTGAATGGGCCTCAAATCTAACTCCAACCCTTTGATATGTAAACATTCTCTCCAGGAGCTAAACAGCCCTCAGTGTCTCTGTTTTTACTGTCTAATACAGTCTCCAAGTTCTGGAACTTCACTTCTTTTGAAGTAAATACGGAGGGAGAAGGTGCTGGAATCTTCTGGCACCTTGGGGCTTAACCTAGGGAACCAGACCCAGCTGGAGCCCCTTGGCCCTCTCCCTGAGATAAGATGAACTTTATCATCCATTCAGAGGTGAGCAATTAACTAGACAAGTGGCTACAGATCTAATTATCGTGGTCTGTGAAGAGTCTCAGGAGGCCAGGGCTTTTCCTGGAGCCCCGAGACATTCTGGGGAGTTTTACTTCCCCACTGTCTCTATAAATACATGCATATAGACTGCGTGTGGTCAACCCCACCTTGCACATTTCCAGATTTCAAAACCCAAAGTGTTTTGCTCCTGAAGGAAATGGAAAAAAGCACCTGAAGTATTCTCAGACAGATCCTAATGAGTAATTCAGATAACACTGAAAACTTCCAGATTATAAGCCTAAAATAAATAAAAGGTTTTAAAATCTGATTGACCTCAATTTCATGGAGGATAATATATTGGATGGCTTTTGGCAAATTTATAACGGCACCCACCGAAAAGAAAGCTGCCAGGAAGGAGTATGAACCACAAAGGTTTGTACCAAAAAATGCTTTGCATTCTATCAGAACCTAACTTTACTCAAAAGGATAGACCTGAGGATGCAGGTAGAGCCTTTAAAAAATTTAGCTCAGTGGTGGAGCAGATACTTAGCATGCAAGAAGTCCAGGGTTCAATCCCCAGTACCTTCATTTAAAAATAAAACAACTATCCCTTAGGAATGTTACAATGATGACTGTGGAGGAGAAATTTTTGAAGACTAGAAAAGGAGATGAAACTTCATATGACTCAGATTTGAATTATCCATTGCAATCTCGGGTAATTCTTCCAGATGTGAGTAATGGCCCTGAAAACAAGAAACTGAAACAAAGAGTAAGGCTTGTTGAATCACAGCATTTCTCAGACTCATTTAGAAGGAAATCGAAGGGCACCCGCCCATCTTTAATGCAGGAACCTAAGAATATCTGCATGAGATCGCTAACACGAAAGAAAATAAAAATAAAAATATTTCTCTTAATTTGTCAGCCAATGATACGACGTTGAATGGCACAACTAACAATCAGCACTCAAAGCTAGGTATGCGTGGGGATTTGGAACTGTTTTACTTAGCAATTTCTTTTTCATGTTTGTAACAGAAGAGGCAATTACTCTTTTAGGACGATATTGCAAAATAAGGACGTGGTCAGCTCTAGAAACTTAACAGGTTTCTTTAATGTGCTTCATCACAAACTTTGGTTTCTGCTGTAAAGCTTGCTTAAATCTCTTTTTATCCCATGTATTAGTAAGCTGAATATTTACAGTATCTTCAGCGAGCTTTCTTATATTGTATGCAGTGAGTGTTTTATTACTCATACTTAGCACAGAGCTGCTGTCCTCAGCGCCATTCGAATGCTTGTGAGTGATATCCACAATGCCCCCTGTGTTGTCATCGGTTCTTTATTGGGTGCTTGACCTTTAGCCTTAATGTTGCTCACATTTGGAATTTATGTAACCTGGATGTCCCTGTTTCAGCTTGGCTCTCTCGTCCTCTGATCCAGCCTCCACCAGCCCTGGGAACTCCACCCTCTGCTTGCTTTCCATTGGATGCTGTGTCCAGCTATCTCGGCTCTAGGTTTACATCCCTTTCTTACTATTTTATAGCATTTTAGATTTTTATGGTTATGGAAATTATATATGCATGTACTCATACTCTGGTCATTGTTTCCTTTGAGGTCTGCATTTTATGTACATCCACCCAGGCACTGAAAGAAGTGTTGTTTGCCTGCCTTCTTTAATTTGAGCCCCAGCATGGCATTTGGTACTTTTCTTTATTCACATTGTAGAACACATTTTTTTTTGACATAGTCCATTGTTTTGTAACTTTGGGACTACTCACCTTCATAATCCCCTTGACATTTATTCTATCCCTCAAATTATGTAATATTTCAAGAGTATTGTCTATCTAGAAGCTTGGAATAGCCCATAATTCTGCTTGTTTATAACCTGAGAGTTCCAATTCTTCCACCAACACGGAACCCAACAACATAAAAGCATAAGGAAAATTGACTATCTAATCATACAGCCTTAACTTTTCACTGATTCTATGCCTTTGACTTACTAAAGCAAAATATTTTTATTTAAGGACTTCGTTCTGGAACCTGCCCTGCCCCTTCCCCTGCAAACAATTCTATTCTTGCAAGGCTTTATCTCCAGAGGAAATCTAGGGGGAAAAAATTAACGTTGTTTATATTGATCTATACATTGATTCAAATGGTTAGGTAGCCATTCAGCTGACCGGAGTGAAAAAATAGGAAGGAAAGAACTCTCCATCACATGAAGCACATAATTTGAACAGAAGAAATTATTTTGATTGAATTAAATAATTCAATTATCTACTTGAATGTAACTTTCCTTATTATAAAGAAAGCCCAAAGTGAAATACTAGGTACATCGGGTATATGCACAAAGCTTGTAAACCAGACTTGCTTGGCCAGCCAGGATAAGAAGTGACATTTTTCAGCTGAGCCTTTGTTGTATCATATCAGCTCATTGAGTTGACAGGTCCATTAATCAAGGGACACTTACATGCAGCGAGCTGAAAAGACAGGCTTGAATTGCTAAGTGTTCATTACTGGAAAAATAACTCTTATGAAAACCTCTATGCAGAGCACACTTATCAACAAAAAAAGAGGTAATGACTGTGACATCTATGGATATACAATTTCCAAATGGAATTTC